TGAGAAGGCTCAGGGTGGTCCATAGAAGCCCAACCTTAGAACATTCTGTCCTCCGGGGGGTGGGGGATTCCTGCTGAAACCACAGGCTTCCTCCACGGCACAAATTATGACACAGGGGCAAAAGCAGGTGGAGAACAGTTCTTTAGGGGAGAGATAAAAAAAAAAACACGTATTTTTTTTGTAGTACGAACACAGACACACACACAACACGTTGATTGTAGCTCAGTGTATCTATCGAATTGAATTTCATTAGAAGGGTTGGCTAAGGGAGAAACACAATCATTACCAAAAAGCACCCGGAAACATTGCTACGAGTCCAGCTCCACATGAGAACAATGCTTGGGATCTTTTAGTGTTCACTCAACTGTCCTCTATTCATTTATAGATAATCAATCATGGATCAATCCAGCAAGAGCTAATTCACAGAGTATACACGAATGTGTCTCCCTCCAACCCCCACTTTGGGAGGGCCGGAATCCATCCTTGGATTTGGAAGTGTTTCTCGTTCCAGAATCCATCTCTGCTCCTGACTTGAATTCCATTCCTGGAATAGCTACTGCCATCATGAGAAAAGGCCGCTGGGGCAGGAGCTCAGGGGGAAGGTAGGGACAGGTCTGTTCCCAGAAGGGCAGATCGCCCTGTGGACTGTGTCCGCCTGAGACCTCTGTAACAACAAGGAGTTCTTTTCATCCTTAATTAAGTGGTACCAGAAACAGTTGAAGGAAGACAAGTGAGGTTATTTTTAACTCTCTGTCAGACACACACACGCACCCGAAATAGATCAACAACTTCAATATGCATCAGGAATGAACGGCTGGAGGTTCCCCGAAAGTCGCTCGGTGCCAATGTGTGAGATGTTGAAATGAGCCACATGCCACGGTTATTACCCCCCAGCTCTTCCTTAGAACTCGGTGCTGGGCAAGGACTCAGTTGGGACAAGCATTCCGCGATCCCTGGCAAGCACCACTCCCGGGGAGGGGTGGGGAGGGCTGGAAACTCTCAAACAGCTGCAAAAAGCAATCTTGTCCGGGTTAGAAAATGTTTACTACCTGTGCATCCGCCAGCGCAGGAGCCTGCCTGCCGCCTCCCCGGGTCATCACCGATCGAAAGAGGCGCCAGAGAACCAAGGAGGAGAGGAGGCACAGGCTGCCTACCAGCCACACGCCTTTTCTTCCCAGGGTTGGATCCATCCTCTGTGAGCCACCGCCGTCCAGGCTCCCTGCTGCCTTGTTGGAGCCAAAGCCCCCTCCAGGCGCGCAAAGTTCTACTGTGGAGGAGGTGTGACTTCGGACAGCGAGGGAAGGCGCCTGCATCTCCAGTTACGCCCCCAACAAATACTGGTCTTCTTTAAAAGGAAAAAATGTGATGGCCTTGCGTGACAGATCAGACAGGTGCAGGGGCCCACGGAGACCTGCCGGCCATTAATTTACAGCCGCGCATGCGTTTGTCCCTGACTCAAGGACTATCAGCTCCACTGTAACTGGCATGAGCCCTGCGCCTGGGTCATGGCCAAGGAGCTGCCTTGCCCTTGCAAGCAAAGAATGGGACGAGGAGGGGAACAAAACTGAAAAAAAAAAAAAATCTCAAAACCTCCCACTCTCAGCCATGCTATTTTGAGCTCTCTAAATTCTGGTCATTATAAATGTGCTTGCTGGGGGCACATTTTGACACCAGCTGGTCAGGAAATGCCACCTGGTATTAAGTGCCCCGACAGCAATCAAAATAGGGAGAGACACGGTTCCCTGCCGCCCTCGCCATCCTTGCCTTCCTCTCGTACACCCTGTTCACAAGGATTTTGTTTCATTTGATCCCCAGAGTGCTTGGTCCAAGGCCGTGAGGTCCAACCCGTGACACAGGCATTCCCTATGCATGGTTGGGGTCTGAAAGAGTTATTTTAAGTAGAGAGAGTGTGTGTGTTGGTTCCCTGCTCAAATGCCCACAAGCAGCTAGGATGGGCTAAAGGCAGGAGCAAGAATTCAGGTCGGGTCTTCCATGTGGGAGGTAAGAACCCCATTATGACAGTCTCCCGGGATCAGAACTGAGAGAAAGCTGGATGCAGAAGGCAGAAGCACGCACTGATCCCAGGTATTCTCATGTGGGCGTATGCATCTTAGCCTGTGGGTGAAATGCCTGCCTGAGGATGGAAGATTTGTGAACAAGAAATGAAAAGAAAAGAAAAGAAAAGAAAAGAAAAGAAAAGAAAAGAAAAGAAAAGAAAAGAGAAGAGAAGAGAAGAGAAGAGAAGAGAAGAGAAGAGAAGAGAAGAGAAGAGAAGAGAAGAAAGAAGAATGGAGGGGAGGGGAAAATAAAGGAAGAGAGAGGGGAGGGGAGGGGAGGAGAAGAGAGGAGAGGAGAGGAGAAAATTCCTCAGTTGGGAATAGTTTTGAACCCAAACTAATTCGGGTCAGGATCAAGTCAGAAAGAACTGATTCAGAAGGTGTATAGCAGACAGAGAGAGCGGTGGGTGTCCGCAGGAGCAGCTTTTGTGCTTGGGACCATGCCTGGCATACTAGTTCTGCCATGAATAAGTAGGTGTGTGTATAAGAGAGAGAGAGAGATTAGTAAATTAAATCTAAGAGAAATGCAACACGAGGGCTATTTATATGGGTACTTGAGAACTTACAAGAAAAAACAACTCAGATATGATTACTAAAAAGAAAAGACTCACTATACTTATGAGAGCCGTACATTGTTTATAATTCATTACACACGAGCCCCAAAGTTAATCATTCATTTTTATCAGATTAACTTTCTTTGGTTCTGCTTGACTTGAACACCATGCCACGGATGTCCAGATCTAGCTTATTTTGATTATGGGTGCCTCCTGAGGACTTTTAAAATAGTATACCAGTGGGAGAACTTCGACAAGTGTGAACAGTGAAACGGAATAAGAAAAGCTATTAGAAACCAGAAGACAAAGCAGAAAGATGAACGCAACTTCTGCAAGAGAAGTAAAATGCGTCGTATGTGATAAAGGCAAGAGAATAACAGAGGTGGGTGTAAAAGAAGGTGGTTAATCGCCAGGAGAAGAGAAGGGGGCAGCAGTGAACGTGTGATTATCATTGTCCCCGGAGGAGAGCCCAGGGATTTACTGCTGCCCCTGGAGAAGATGAAGACATGCTAATCCCGCCCTGTCTGCATACCTGATGACACCCGAGCTGCTGGGTGGCCTTCTCGTCCTCCTGCTGCCAGGCCTGCTGCTGGCCCTGGGCGCTCTGACTTGGACAGGCAAGGCTGGGCCCCAGGATCCTGGCCACCGCAGAAAGAAGAGCCCTGGGCCTCCAACACGTGTCTCCGTCCACTGGCCACACGGCCAGGGAGAGAGAAACAGGGAAAATCTATTGCTGCTGTCTCCAGACCTGTCTCCATTTACAAAGTAGAAGTTGATGGAATGTAAGGAGGTGCCTGACCCTCCCTTGTTCCCAAGGGAACAAGAGGGATGGGAGTAGGCTCCCTTCTAAGCTTTTTGTAGTAGATGCAGCATTCTCAATGCTTTCCTTTAAAAAAAAAAAAAGTGCTGAAAATATTTTACTTCCAAATCATTTCTTTCTGGAATAGTTGGTTATGACAACAGTGATTCCGCCCCGAGATCATTTATGTTTCAGCTTAGCGCCAACCCACTCTTTACAGCAAAACTGTATCCCAGAACTTGAAAAAATCATCAAGTTTACATGAACTGTTACAGTCAGCTAAGGATTTCAAAGTCATCCAAGAGGACTAGTTTGTCTTCTGTGTCCTACCAAAATAAGTGAAGTGGGGGTAGGGCGAGGAAAGAGTTTTTGGTTTATTTGTTTGTTTGTATTCCGAACAATCCCAGTAAAAAAAGCCTTCCATTTCGTTGCTTCTCGGCTGGGGAAACAGCCCCTTGCTCTCTGCCCAAGAAGATGTTAAAGCTTAGGGAAAGCACAGGTCTCAAACGGACTCAGTGCTTCTCTCCAGCCCACATGGCATCACTTCCTTCCTTCCCTTAAACCTCCTGGCCTTGGAGACACAGCATCTCTGACGCGTCCCTCAGAACAGGAGCTGGGCCACGAAGGATATTCCCAAAACTGCCTTATCACCATCACTCGCTCTGATTATTTAAAAAAATAAAATCACGAACCCTAGCCCTCAACCAGAACACAGAATTCACTCAAATACATCCGTTTATCCCACAAACGCCTTCTGGTGCCCATCACGTAGTGGTGACTGGAAAGCAGTGTGAATGCTATGAGGCTCCTTCCTGGAGGATGTCTGTCCAGGTGAACATGTACAAAACCATTACATGGGATAAAATCAAGAGTCCTTTGTGTGAGAGAGACTTCAAAAAGTTTGTGAAAAAAAAATGGAATGGAAAGATGGGCTTATTTGGGAGCACAAAAAGCAATCGAAATCCATGCATAGGAGGGGTCTTCAGAAAGGTCATGACTTGTACGTCGTGGGAAAAATGTTTGAATGTATCGCCAATTCTTTGCACCAAAATAAGCACTGTTTGGTGCCATGGGCTTGTGAAGTGTTCCCACGGATGCAGGATTACACTTGACTGTCATAGGAGTTATCTGCCCATCACTCAGTGCAGGCAACCTCTTGCTTGGGTTCAATAACCAACTGCCAAAGAGAGGCAGTGGACCAGGGCTGGGGCTCATCCTGAGCAGAGGGGGACACAGATTCAATCACTGTTTTCCTCACACTGTGCCCTTTGCAAACCACCAAACAGCCCTGCCACCAGCGCCCCCTCTCCCCCCACCGGCAGCTTCCACACCATCTTGTTCAATCCGCTTCATGGCCACTGACCTTGAGGTGTAAATGCAGGCTCAGAAGCCTCCTAGTGACCAAACTCAGCCGGCTGGTCAACACGCAAACCTCAGTGAAGCAAGATGGAAATCTGCCTAGCCATAGTTTCTGAACACACACATGACAACACAGAATTTGGAAAGAGTTTGGCAAATGGCCCCAGGGTGCTAAAAAAAAAAAAAAAAAAGATGAGAAAAGAGCTGACATTTTTGTTAGCCCACAGTTACCTCATTCTCTCCAGGTCCTGGATCCTGTTCACTAGAATTTTCTTCCAGAAAACATTTCACTTTCTCAACCTTTTCCATGCACTGGAAAAAAGCCATTTTCTGCAGGCCGTTGCTGTCGTAGCACGTGCTGATTTCCTCCAGCCTTTTCACTTGAAACATCTTGGTGGTGAGTCCCAGGAAGCCACCCTCTGGAGGCTGTTCACCGCCCTCTCTCTCCGACTTGTAAATCAAGACACAGTCACGGCTGTGCAGGGCTCCCTTCTCTGGGCTATCAAGAAAACAAAACAAAGAAACTTCTAGTCACCTCTTCACACATCTGACGTCTTGAGGGGGAATGATTGGTTGAGAAGAAATCTCTATTTAAACGGGAGAGCGCGTCCAAAATTAGGAAGAGAAGTACTAATGTTCATATTGAATTTCCACCCTGGAACTTTGGAAGGAAAAAGTTTTTTCACTTTGTCCTCCGAAAGCAAACAGAGGCAATCTCGAGTTTCACGAGGCCACTGAATACTTTGCTCTTGGCATACAGCAAGGTGTGCGCAAGCGGTTGCTTTCAATACAGAGTAGAGAGTGTCTTTCATTTGATTTGGGATTGCAGGTTTTGTTCCTTGAATACCTGGGGGAAAGCATTCATCATAAAGGGAGAGCCCCTCCCTTGACCTCCACTACCCCTCTGCTCCCTGCAGAATTTTGCCTTCCTCTTGGAAGAGGCTGCCACCAAATGAACCCTCTTCCAGAGCTCATCTCTTGCTCCACGCTCAAATGTGTTTGTTTTTCAAATGTGCCTCTGTGCAGTGACGCAAGTGCCCAGATGTGGTTCCCAGCATCTGCACTGGCAGGCACGCTCCAGTGCAATCTTCCCCCCCGCACACTGAGTAGTGCACACAACACACAGTGCCTTCTTCCTGTTAACCTGGCAATGTTTACCCACTCAGACGGGGAGAGAGGGTCAAGGTGAAGACAGAGGGCTCCACCGGCTGACTCCTGGGGCCCCCTGCCGGAAAAGGCCTGCAAAGTGTCTCTGAGGCTTTTTCTCAACTTGAGAATTCCCCTGCGATTTTCTCACGAATCAATCGCATCTTTGATTTCCACAGCTCACAGAGTGAAACAATAGACTTGAGTTCTGAAGTATGTAGCACCCAGGTCACTCAAATTTTACATGGAAAGTTTAGGTTCAGACTAATCAAGATGCAAATGGCAGCATCAGAGCCCCACACATCATAATCCATCGGTTAGTATTCTTTCAGTTTTTCAGCAGTTTGCTTAGGAGTAAAAATCACTACTACAATAAGCAAGCAGATGCATGACTGTTTCTGGGCAGAACGTCGTGTTTAACTGTAAATGGCATTCAACTTGGACCAGGGAGCCCCATGAAAATTGACATATTGAAACAACAGTTTTAGATCCAAGATATAACCACTTTGCGAAAGAAAGCATATAACAATTTTCAATAATCTCGATCTGGCATTTGATACAACTTGTCATTTTAAGAAGCAGGAGGCTAGAGGTTTTATAACAGTAAACAGCACTAATTACCATGCGTAGGAGGACATCATAGAGCTTGAACCACGGCAGCTCACGGTGTGAAGTTCCAGCTCAGAAAAGTCTGCAGAAGTTCGGTAAAACTGCAAAACCCTCTGGCCGGAGTCTTTGCCATCAGCCAGCCCAAGTCTTCTGAACAGACAAGCATCTACTCCGAGAGGAAGTCTGCTTTCTCAAATGCCACGGCCAGCCTCTGTTTAAACTAACACGGCCCTTGATCTCATGTTGCTTTCTGAGTCAGATGGGGAAGAATATTAATTTTAGACACTAGGTTTTTCAAGGCCGATGGCTCCATTTCAGAGGTCAGGTAGGGAGAGGACGAAGTGGGAACACTGGATGAAATATCACCTTCATCTTCCCCTCTCTCCGTGTGGCAATACTCTGGTTCTCACAGAGCTGGACTCGTCTTGGGCGATGCTCTGCCTAATCCCCCGGTTCCTCTCACACTCACGGTTATTTCTGTGCTTGTTCCCAGCCGAGAGGACTCCTCATTGTCGACTCATCTTCCACCTGCAACACGTCCTGTGGCGATCCTGGAGGATGCCAGAGAACTTAGAGCAAGTTTGCTTTCATTATCTCAGTCCTCTCAACCGTTTTCAACACCTGCAGCTGCTTCTAACTCTAGAGAAAGGCACAGGTTTCCAGGTAAGTGGGAATCAGAGACGCGACACACACAACTTTCCTGGCAAGTAACCCTGTGACTTCACCCTGGTTTTTGGCCCCAAAGCGAGGGAAGGGAATTAATGCAAGACAATCCATGCTCAATTCTAGCAGTGCTGCATCCCGTTAGGCCAGCTGCACAAGACCTCCGCTGTCCAGAGACAGCCCTGCGACCTTTCGGGGCCTGGCCGATGGTCACTTCCTATCAGAGCCCTTGTTGAACCCTCTGCTTGCTACCCTAATACCAATCTCTGGCATTCACTTCCTTTAAAACAAAAGAAACCAAAAAACCGTATTTCTCATCCAGATAAATGTATTCCAAATCACCTGTGCGTACCATGCAAACAATTACAGCAGGATCTTATATTAAAGAACTTTTGTCTTTTTTAAATGAGAAGTTTTTTAAAAGTCTTATTTTATTTTTTATTGGAAAGTCAGATATTCAGAGATAAGGAAAGACAGAGAAGAAGATCTGATGATTCACTCCCCAAGGGGCCACAATGACCAGAGCTGCACTGATCCGAAGCCAGGAGCCAGGAGCTCTTCCGGGTCTCCCACGTGGGTACAGGGTCCCAAGGCTTTGGGCCATCCTTGACTGCTTTCCCAGGCCACAGGCAGGGGACCTGGAGTCCACGGCGGAGTGCAAATTGGAAACAGAAACACAGAAACCATGCACGTCTAGCGATTTGTGTGCACAATGAACCTTCCCATAAATATTTGCTGATTAATTACTAGAGAGGGCCACCTTTACTTGTGTCTCCTTGCCCTGAAAAGTGCAAGTTAATTAGAACAATCTAGCATGATTATCCTCCAAAATTAAAGGCCCATAGTCCAATTCTGCTATGACACACTGTATCCAGCTCCTGATGATGACAGCAAACAAGAAACCTGGTGCACACTTAAACACAGACGCAGAAACCAAACGATTCGTGGATACTCAACATGTTCTGGCCACGTAACCTTAGGATGTCCAGTTGGTGTTCATAAAATATTCTGAATGCCTTAGAGTGCTCCCATGTCTGGAAACATTAGCACATTTAAGAGCAGGCCCAGCAGGACTTTTGTGTTTGTTTTGTGTCATTTAGGAGCAATGCCTCTTTTAAAAACATCAAGAAACCAGCATTCTACAGAGTCTGGAGGGGAAAATCTACTAGCCGTGTCAGAAGACACACTGGCGTCAGAAGCGCCAGCGCAGCTGTGCTGCCGAGGGCTCTGCCCACCCATTGGCATGCAGACCAGGCTGGGTGGCACTAATAGTTTCTATTTGGATGCATCATTCTGAGTGGGTCTGGAATGGCGGGCCCTCTTGAATCCTGACACACAAAATGGAACACTCTTCACAAATCTCAAAATACAAATGAAAACTCTACTCCATTCCGCACACTGCAACTGAATTTTCTTCCTTTTAATAAGCACTACTATGATTTAGGAAAAGCAAAAATGGATGAAATGCACTTTATCAAGATTCAAAACATTTACTCTTCAAAAAATATCATGAGGAAAGTGAAAAGACCGTTTTAGAGAAAATGCTGTGAAATCACGATTTCATAGAGGACTTGTATCTGTCCCGTACAACAAACTTTTATATCTCAATAACAGGTTGACAAACATCTTGACTTTAAAATGGACAAAATCTTTCTATATGTATATATATTACCATAAAAGATGCACATATGGGAAATAAACATAAAAATGCCCAAATTCTGTCCTCAGCAAGACAAAAAGTCCAATCAAAATGAAATACGAGAGTTATAATTTTAAAAAGATGGAGGAAAGCAAACATGGTTAAACAAGGAAAAACCTGAGCCCTCATTAAACGTGTTGTTGGGATTGTAAAGTGACCCAAGTGTTTAGGAAAACCATTTGGTAGTTTCTTTAAAAATTATCTCCCGTGGAGTCCCCCAGTTCTCCTGTCTGAGAGGAATGAAAACACACGAACCTTCGAGTACAAACATTAACGGCTGTGTTACTCACAATAGCCTAAAACTGGAAACACCCAAATGTTCATACGTTGGAGCGGCGAATGGGGAAACGTGCGTGCTACACCCACGCAGCTGGAATGCTACCCGGCAGTAAAAAGTGTCACTTGAACAAAAAAACACTGTGTGACTCTTCAATGGAAAAGCCAAAACCGAAGACCACATACTTGGAGCTTGCATTTGTAGGAAAGGGCCAGCAAAGCACACCTGCCAATACAGGAAGTTTATTGCTGCTGCTGCCTGGGGCTGGGGGCCGGAAGGCGTGGTCACTGGGTCACTGGACAGCATCTGCCAGGGCGACGTGCAATGGTGATTACACAACACCCTGCTCCTTACATCACCTAACTGTGATGTGGGGGGAATTTTATGATCTGCAAATTAAATAATGTAAGCAAAAAGAAAACCAAAGGCTATGATGAACAAAATGTACGTTTGTTTAAATACATAAATAAAGTGCTACTGAGCTGTTTCCGGCCAGCTTTCCCAGGAGACCAAGGCACGGTTGGGAGCCAAGGAGATAAATTATACCCACAGCTCCCAGGTCATCTGGTGCCAAAATTTAAAAAAAAAAAAAAAAAAAAAAAAAGAAGAAGAAGAAATGTGAGAGAACTGACCCTCTTAGAGTTTTTCTTACCCTAGCACAAATACTATAGATATAACATCGGTCTTTGTGATGAATAGAGAAATTAGTGGCCATTTGAAAATAACACCTGTCTCATTTGCTTAGAGAAAGGGTACAGGGAGCACGGAATAGTGATGTTATGGAATGCCCGGCCTGTTGACAGAAGAGATTGATATCAGATCTTACAACTGCCAAGTGACTCTGACTACATGCCCAAAAATCGGTTGAGAGAAAACCTCCAGATGAAATAGGAGGTTTAAAAATAAGCGGATAAAATGTGGCTAGACCTACCTGAAAGGTATTCGTATTTTTGGAGCAGGCCTTTGGCTTAGTTGGCAAGCCCCCGTTAGAGCGCCTGGGTTCAGTGCCCAGAGGCAGCAGTGAGGCTCCGAGTAGCGGGACTCCAGCCACCCATGCGGGAGACCGG